CATTGATCTGCCTGTCCTGCTCCCCACTCTGTCTCTGGTGAATCCTCTCACCCTCCAAATCTCTGGCCTGTACCCCAGATCCGTGTAAATGAATAAATAAATCTTTAAAAAAAAATACTCCAGGAAGTAAGAAATTTCCCACATTAAAAAAAATATATATAGCATACTAATGAAATCTGATCCTCATCTAGCCCATCACCTGGACCCTAATGAAAAGAATGAAAAATACAGTCATTAAGTCTCCCAGGCCCCACAACAGCCAATTCTGACCAGGTGATTTCCATGGCCGTGACTGACAGTGCAGGTATCCAACCCCTTATTCGTAGGAGAGCAGACTACCAGAAAAATCCAAAGATATTTTTTAATTCTTAAATTAAAAGCACTGATTAACTTGTCTAGGAATCAGAGAGGCATTAGGAGACTATAACCACCCTATCCCTGCCATACTGACCTCCAGTTAAAATGCTGTAGTTCAAGCCTGTCTTTTGATGCGAACTGTTTGCACAGGAAGAAAATCAGATAAGCAGGCATAACTCGTACAAAGTTTAGTCTGGCTATTTAAGAAAGTCGTACACACACATAGAAGTTTTACATAATACACTTCACCACTTAAAACCCCAAAGATAAAATTAAAAAAAAAGAAATTCTAGTGTTGCCTAAGCTGTGGGCAAACATATCTGTATGCATGTTGCTTTAAACATTTAACTGTTAGATGATAGAATGTTAAAGAAAGGAGAGAGAGACTTGTAGGATTATCATGTCCAACTCATTTCTCAGCTGAAGAAAATGAAACTGTAATTAAAGTGAGTTTATTTGTCAAACATCACATAGATATTAGAAGCAGGGCTAAGATAGCCTGATTAACAGTATCTGTACATCTATAAGGACTCAGTTATTCCAAAAGACTTCCACAGCCATTATTTTCTTAGACCCTCACCAAAACTAATGTTTCCACAAATAAGAAAACTGAGATCAAAGGATTTGGGCAATCTGCCTACATAGTTAGTGGCGGCAACCCCTTACCCTTTCCATCACCTGATGCAATTGCCCAAACCCTTCAAGATGGCCTAGGCAGTGTGTTCCCCAGCTTTAAGCCCAAAGCCTGACACACAGCAGGCACTCCAAATTTAATACCTCACTACCAGAAGAAAACTACACAAACTGTGGCTGACTGACAAGATGTTGGTCCTATATGGAAGATGTCCATAGGTTGAAACCCACATTAGATGAAATATAGAATCTCACAGATGAGTACCACAAGTTTTAGACCTCAGAGCCAGGTCTTCATCTGTTTGGCCTCAATTACCCAGAGCTGCCTCACCTGCCTCCAATTGCTTCCTCCTCTTAGGCACTATCTTAGGAACCTGCAGGAGTTTCCTACTACCCACACCACCACATCCAAATTCTTCACCCTGGCCTTCAACGCCCTACCAATTGACTAAATCCAATTGACTCCTGGATTATTCACTGACCCCGACATTTGCTGGGCTCTTCTCTACCCCCACAGAACCCCTATTTACTTTATGCGGCCAGATATAGCCATGGATCTTGTTGGCTCCTGAAGTCTACTGGTCCTTCGCTCCACTCCCATCTGGTAGAGGTTAGCTTTATTAAAAAAACACGTACATTTACACAACACTTATTTGAACCTGTGTGACCACTAAGTTCATTAGAAACAGACACAACTATGAGCCCCATAATCAGAAGGAACTAATTTGGGTTTTCCAATATAGAGGCAGGAGTTACCTTAGGCTATGTAGTCAATCCTTCTTCTGGTCAGATGGGCACTGAGTTCCAGAGAACTCTTTCTAAAATGGCACCATGGGCAACCAAGTCGAGCTGGCTTCTGATCCCATTCCCACATCTCCATCCCCTCCCTGCCAACACCAGATCAGTCCCAGGAGTTAAGATTCTAGGTTCTTTATCAGACCAGTCCCTTCTTCTAGTAGGGAACCAGTTTTTTTCATTTGTGCACAAGACAGGAATGGGAAGGGGGTTGCAAAATTGAATGCGAGCAAGTGACAAAATATCTTCCCATTTGGAAAAGGCTTCCCATGAAAGTTCTCTCGTTCTCTCAAAGTATATCCAAAGTCCCTTCTACCTGGGACAACTTCAAACTGTCATAATAAATAAACCATGGCCATCTCATAAGCTACAGGGTGCAGACTTACCCCATCACATCAGCGGCTAGACCAGGTGTTGTTCTAACCCCTTGACTCCAGGTGAGGGCTTTGCCGTTGGTTGCCATTTTCAACCAGAAACAATAGTGCTGCAAAGAAACAAGCTTGTATAAGCATTTATCTTTGTCTTGCAATTATTTCTCATAATAGATTCCTAGAATTATTGGCTTAAAGGATGCACGCATTTTAGATTCTAATACAGTTGAGAAACTTCACAGGGTAATTCTCAAATAACACATTACCTGGGAATTTGTTTACAATGCACATCCCAACACACCCTGACTTGACACCAAGTTTCCCTCCATCCTCTCAACCTTCCCTCCCCACCTCCAGGAAGTCTGGAGAGGGGCTTCAGAAGTGGCTTTGTTCTCCAGCTTCCAGGTGGCTCTACTTTGGGCTAATGAGAAGGAGCTGGTTTCTTCCATTTGCTCAACCATGCCTTATTTAAGGCAAGACTTGGGTGTACTGATTTAGGGGCCAAATTTATGGGGAGATCTCTGGCCTCCAGTTCCAGTACCCAGTGGCTCCCCCAAAATGGTGAATCTGATGGACCTTCAAGTACCGTGCTTGGCGCTAAGAGCCAAAGCCAGAGCTTACCTGGTGCTGGAATTGGATTTCCCTAAAAGCCCCTTCTTCTGAGGTCCCTGCTCAAGCTCCCACAAGCTCTTTGATCCTGACCACTGCCCAGGGTTTTACTTTCTTACCTAGGACTCCCCAAGCTCCCTTTTTCTTGCTGAAGTTTTTGTGGACAAAACAGCATTTCTCCAGTAAATTGTCTGGGACCTCCACTCTGGGGCTCAGTTTCCCTCTCTGTAAAGTAGAGTGTTGGACAGTAACACCAAGACTTTGGTTCTTCTGTGAGGAGAGCAGTGTGGCCAATGGTTTCATGGAAGTCTGGCCTCAATGCTGAGTTCAGGTGTACCCTAACAATCTTTAATCAGCCTTCTGATTGGCTTGGGTCTTGTCGAGAAAACCGTTTGTTTTTTTGTTCCCAGAGTTCTCCATTGCTAAAGTGCAATTAAGGCCAAAAGTTGTTTTCCAGCTCAGGGTCCTAGATATTTAGGGCCAGATGAGGAGTCCCAGGAAAAGCTTCCCCTATGCTAACTCTGTAGTGAGGCTAACTCTGCTGGGCTCTAGGTGTTACAGACTCCCCCTAAGGCTATATGCAGTGAGTCAGCGGGATTTCGCAGTATGTTGTACTGGGAGCAGAGGCAGGCTTGGATAAGGCCAAGGAAACATGTTTCTGGAGTTGGGTGTTGTGGGAGAGGAAAAGGACACCAGTCAGGAGTGTGGGGCACTCCTAGCAAAAGGCCTGCCTCCTTCCAGAGCCTATCACAATGGGGTCAGGGAAGGGAACCAACCACAAGGGCTGAATGACACTGGGTGTGTGACAAGAAACAAGAACCCCCGTGAACCAGGGACTGACCCACTAAAGGCACCCACCTCATACACCTAGGACTGGACGGGATCACTTTCACACACACAAGGCGCCTCACTCAGGGTCATTCAGAGTGCTAAACACACTTTTTTGGCTTTACCTCAGGGTACTGGTGATATGTCTGACGACTGGACTTTGGGGGGAGTCAGCCGCCCCTCTACTAACTCTAAGGCCCTTGAGGGCGGAATTGACTTGGCTTTCAGAGCCCAATCCTTACCACTGAGGCCTAGACTAACTGGGCCTCAGTTTCCTCTCAGCACAAGCGGAACTACACTAGGGGGGTTGGGGGAAATCCCGGTGAAAGGAGCAGACGCGGTAACGTTAGGATTTACCGATTTCTCCTCTCGTAACGGCCCCCAACCCCGTGTGGAGCACACAGTAGGCGCTCCCGAAACGCCCTCAGAAAGCAGGAACGGGGCACTTCCTGCCCCAAGCGGGCTACCCCGATTCCGGGTTCCCACTACTCCTTTCCGAGGCCATGTGGCATTCCTGAGGGTGGGGGGTGGGCGCAGGAAGAAGGTGCCCTCCCGGCCCCGCCCCCTCCGTCGCGGTGGGCGGGGCGAAGCCCCTTGTTGCCGCCGTCAGCCCGCCCCGCGGGGGGTGGGCGTAGCTCGCCGCGCTCCTCACAAAGTTTGTTTTCTCCCTCCGGGCGGGTGGGGGAGGGCGAGGAGAGCGCGGAGGGGAGGAGAGGGGATCTGACGTCAGGCCGCGAGGTGCTTTCCAGCCGCGAGCTGTCAGGCCGAGTGTCAGGCAGGGCAGGTACGCGGCGCGCTCCCCCGGCGGCCCCCGCCCCCTGCCAGGACGCCCCGGACAGAGCCTGAGGCCGCGTGGACTGAAAAGCCGCTCGGAAAAGTCAGTGCGGGGCGCGGGAAGGGGGGGAGATGGGAGTAGGGGGCGCGCGGACAACTTGGAAAGTTTCTTTTTCTCGGCCGGGCGGGGGAGGGAGCGTCGTCCTGGCGCGTGTGATTGTGGGTGTGTTTGTTGGTCCCGACTGCGGTGTGGGGGCGGGAGCCGGTGGGGGGCTGCCCCACTGCGCGGGAGGAAGCGCTCTCAGGACCCTCTTGGGGGGTCCAGCTCCCCAGGATCTCGTCCCGGGAGACGGCCGCCCCTGCCTCTGGCCGGGGTGAGCGCGCGGGGGGCGGGTTTGTTTGGTTTCAAAAGTGCACGTTGCTAACCGCCGGCTGCCCGCCCCCCCCCCCCGCGACCGTGCCGGGGAGGGGGCCGCTGAGAGTGACAGCTGCGGGTGGGGGCAACGGGAAGGGCCCGGAGCTGGCGGGGCCGGAGAGCCCGCGCGAGTTCCCCTTTCCTTTGGAACAAAGGAAAGTCTGTCTCTGAGGCATCTGTCACTCCCTGGCGGGCCAAGGAAGCGGGGCGCGTGGGGCCGGCGACCCGAAGAAAGTTTGTGCGCGCCAGGACCCTCAGGCAGGCCGAGCGTGCGCCGAGCCTCCGGAGGGGAAGCGCGCAGTCTCAGGGGCTGGGGGCGGCCAAAATGGAGTCTGGGAGCAGGGCTGGGGTGGGGGGGCGGTGCGGAGGTGGGAGCCCAGCCCCCTCCCCTCCCCCTCCGGGCCGAGTTCGGAGCACAAAGCCGAGCGCGCAGGCTCGGCCGGCCCCGCGCCCCGAAGAGACAGCCAGCACCGAGCGGCGGGGGAAGGGGGTGGGAACCAAACTTTTGCTGCCCCGGGGCAGACACGTGAGTTTTCTTTCTTCCAGAGCCCCCGCCCCACCAGGCTTGCGGGCCCGCGAGGAAACTGGAGCTCCGAGTCTGACTCTGGCTGGGGGGCTGAGGGGTGCGGGCGCCGTGAGCCGAGGCCGATTCCCCGCCGCCCCGGGAGCCATGTGCTCCTTCACGGTCTGGCCCGCGGGGGAGGCAGCGCGCTTTGTGTGAACTGCTGGGAATGCGGCGTGAGTGCGCTGCCCGGGGGAGTGTCGGGCAGAGCCGGGGGAGTTGTCAGAAAGTTCCTGCGGGAGTAACTGCAGGTCGGCGTCGCAGAGTGTGTTGGAGGGTGTTCACCGGGTGTTGTGTCCGGAGGGTGCTGCCACAGGCCAGCTAGGGTAAGAAGGATCTCCGGTGTGATGACATCTGGAGTTTTCCCAGCCTGAGAGATCGTGGGTGGGCAGGTCGGTTGGAGTCGTGGGTGGGCACAGATCAAGAATTGGGTTAGTTGTGTGGATACCGGTTATTCACGAATTGGAGTTTATAAACTGTATGATGGTATTTGTCAGTGGAAACCATGGGGATGCCAGGGGCTGTGAGGGTTGCCTACGGTTAGAGTGCTAGTAGAGTTGCCTGGTGTGAGGGTGTGTGTATATGGTGTCGAGTGTGTGTGTGTAAAACCTTCTGGATTCTAAGCAGGCTGGAGCACAGGATACCACGGTGGAGAGGTCTGTAGACTGAGGGGCCATCTCCACAGCCCACTCCTAGAACCCTGCAAATGGGACTTGGCAGGCAGCCAGGGCAGAATTTGTACAGATAACCTTGAGTAAACTTCTCACAGCCTGCCAGAGCTGCATCCCTGAACCCAGATCCCAATTGCCCTGGACAACTAAACCTCAGAAATCTGACCTCAGAAAGCTGCCTGCTGAGCAGTGGCACCTCTCACTGATTCCTGACTCATCTCCAGGTGGCCTGGTGGGAGGGTAGACCCTTCCCTCGAAAGCCTGGCCTAGCCAGCCATGAGCTCTGGGCTCAGGCCCAAGTAGTGGAAACAAAACCTGGGAGATGCCAGAGTCTGTTGGCCCAGCCTGCTGGGGAGCTGTTAAAAGGCTGAGAGGGAGGAGCCTGGAGATTCTGGCATCTGCTTCGTGTGGAACTTTTGGTTTTATAATGTAAATCTCTTTTGCAAGTGTGAACAAGAAGATTGTCCTGGGGATGAGAGCAACTGAGTTAGGTTGTCTGGGGAAGCACCTCCTTTCATTTGACAGGTGAAGAGGGGCCTCTGGCAGAGAAAGGGGAGGACTTTTGTCCAAGGTCACACAGACTAAGTTGGAGGGATCAGAGCCCAGCCTTGTTCATTTATCTGATTTTTAAGGAGTTGATTTCAGGATCAGGCCAACGGCTAGATGGCAAAGGAGAATGAAAGATGAACAGTAGGGATAATTCAGTGCTCTCTGGAGGGCACATGGTAGGTGCTCAGTAAATATTTTGTGAATTGCTGTGACTGATAGAATTTCCAGAATCATTGGGTCTTGGGAGACCTGGAATGGAGTATACTGTGGGGAGAAGGCAGGTAGAGGACAAAGCATACTATCTGAGTCTAAACCCTACTTCCAGGCCATATCCTAGGGCTGGGATTTTTACCCCCATAACAGTTATATTGCAGTAAGTCTCATACCATACAATTTATCCCTTTTAAAATATAAAAATTAGTGTACTTGGAACTATAAAGCCATCACCACAATTTAAGAATATTTTTATCACCTCAAAAAGAAGAGTACAAAAGAAAAGAAACTCCATGCTCTTTATCACTCATGAATCCTCCCTCCATTCTGGATATTTTACAAAATGGAATCATAATATGTGGGTTTTGTGACTTGCTTTTTCACTTGGTGTATTTTCAAAGTTTATACTCATTGTAATATGGATTGGACTGGGACTTCACTCATTTTTATAGCCAAATAATGGTCCCTTGTAGGCATAGACCACATTTTGTTTATCCTTCATCTGTTGGTGGCACTTGGGATGTTTCCATCTTTTAGCCATTATGAATAATGTTTCTATAAAGGTATGTGCAAGGCTTTGTGTGGACACAGGTTTTCATTTCTCTTGGGTAAATAAATATCTAGGAGTGAAATTACCTGGTCACATGGTAACATATCTTGGGTGGCTTTCTCAGCTCTCTGGGCCCTGTTTTCTCATCTATAAAATAGTATTAGCTCCCTTATATGGGCTCTGTGAGGATTAAATGAGATAATAATTGTAAAGTGCTCAATTCAGCGCATGGAAAAGGGTAGGCCTCAGTGGTATAGCCATAATTATTTCTAGACTGGTGCTGCTTATTAATGAACTACCATTTCTTTTAGCAGTCATCTGCAGGCTCCAGAAAATGGAGCCTTTTTGGACTTAACCCTTCCAATCTCCCCAAGACTGTGGGTATGTCCTGAAGTTTTGAATGAATGGCAGTTCCCCATTTCTGGTGTTCTTGGATCTATATTGGTAGGTTTGGCTTAGATAAAAGGTGAGTGGGCTAGTGCAAACAGTAATGTCCCCATATCTTTTGTCACTTGTTCCAGGCTTACCCAAGGGCCAGCCTAGCTCCTAGACACCATGTCAGACAGTGATCTAGGTGAGGATGAAGGCCTCCTCTCCCTGGCGGGCAAAAGGAAGCGCAGAGGGAACCTGCCTAAGGAGTCAGTGAAGATCCTCCGGGACTGGCTGTACTTGCACCGCTATAATGCCTACCCCTCAGAGCAGGAGAAGCTGAGCCTTTCTGGACAGACCAACCTGTCGGTGCTGCAGGTAAGGAAGGGCTAAGAGGATGCCTGAGTTCTAGTCCTGTCCCAGCCCTGTTACTGACTAACTGTGTGTGACCTTGGGCCAGCCACCTCCCGTCTCTGGTCCTTATTTTCTTGGATCAGATGAGGACACCCCTGCTTTAAAGGAAAAAAAATGAAATGAGGTCATTGCAGCTAGATTTAAGATTTTTGAAAGTTCTGAAGAGGCAAGGGGTCGTTAGTAACGTCTGGGTGTCAGGGTCAACACAAGACAATGAGTGGGAAGGTAAAGCAGGCATTGAATATGTGGACTTTGGTGGACTTTGGCTACTGGCCCAAGAGCATGTTTGGATGTCAGCTTGGTGAAGGGCTACTGGTGATCTGCAGTGTGGTTTAAAAATGAGTTACCATCACTATCAAGGAAAGGGCAGAAGTTCTGGGGTCAAAAACGAGTTATGCCACACAGGAATTTTGAACCACATCTTGATGTCCCCTATACAGTGGGGTTAGAATCTGCCTGACCTAACTGTTGTGAGGAAGTGAAAATGCTCTGTAAACCATGCACATGGGTACACTCACATCATATTACCTGCTTTTTATTAGGGTTAAAGGCATTGTCTCTTGAATTGTCCTTCTCATGGACCACATGTGTATGGTGCTATTGAGGTAGGACAGCTTAGACCACCACAGTCTTGCCTCCAGCTTGCCTGTCACCTACAAGACAGATAGTTTAGCATCAGAATCCACACACTGCCCCATTGGCTCCCTTCATGAGCCAGGCAGCTTCTCCCCCAAGCTTTCTGCCTCCCTTTCCACCACTGTTCTTTCATAGCCCATTACTCCAACCTGTGACACCATCTTTCCTTCTTTTCTTAACCAGCCTTGAACCTCTGTGTTTTCCCAACTTTTCCCCCTCCTTCCTGAGGCCTCATTGTGAGAATTCAGCCCTCAGAACTCCTTATTAGCTGACTTTATATTTACTGGCTAGTGGTTAATCCCAAATAAGAAAGGCTCTAACTGAGAAAGGCTAAGAAAGGCTCTAGACTGAGTTACAGACCGTGAGTTGGAGCCTATCTTCTCCAGGGAGCATGGACCTTGGCCAAGTCATTGCCTTCTCTCCTAGCTTATTTCCTCAGCTGAAAAAGGGAGGTGTTTGTACCTCTTTGATAGGGTAGGAGGAGGGACAAAGGAGACAAAGTAGGGGACTCCCTGTGAAGTGTTTGGCTTGGAGTGGGTACCTTCCACTCTTATTTTCACTCTCCTCTCTATATATAATAGGTCTGGGACTGACCCCAATTGTCTAAAAGTGCCTAATATCTGTACCACCCAAGCACCCACTGTGCACAGCAGAAGAGTTGGGATCTCAAAATGGAAACGGACATGTCCTACCTTCAAGAGGTGTCTAACCTGGGGTAGGGTAGAGCTAGGAAGACCTGACCACTGCTGTTTGTAAAAAGTTATCAGTGATGAAAAAGAAGCAACAGAGACCTAGAGCAGGGCCTCTCAAGCTGGCCTGGAGCCTCAAAAGGTCTCTCAGAAGAGGTAGATTGAGCACACAGGATGTGGAACAGCACGAGCAAAAGACTGCAGCCTTAGACTTGGGATTACCTAGACAGTATCTTTGCTGGTTCCTTCAGTTTATTACAAAAGTGCACATCTGATTATGTCACATATTCCGCAACCCTGCTGTCCTCAGAATCCAAACTCTTAGGAGCTGACCAATATTATCTCATCTCTCAGTTCTGTCTGCCTCTGAGGTCCTTGAACACTCAGGTCACATAGGGGCCTTCTGCCTTGGTTTCTTGTCCTTTCCAGACCTGGCTCACTGCATTTAAGCGTTTCTCACGAACGCATTCTCTGACTTCTGGTCGATGTTTGAGGACACTGCTGTATATTTCCTCGTACTTGTGCTGTCAAATGAGTCACATTGTATTGGAACTGCTTTTTGTCAGGGTCACTATCAGATTTGTTTTTATTATTTTAAAAATTATTCATTTATGCATACAAGTGCTGGGATGTAGGCCAGAGGTGTGGGGTGGGGAGCTGTGTGTGAGAGGATTCACCAGAGAGAATGGAATTGGATTGACTGAAATACACTTCTGAGGGGAGCAACAGGCAAGACAGGAGAGGTCTGCTGTGCCATGTGGGTCAGTTCCCTGGCCCGGGTTCAAACTCATGCTACTTTGGCCACTTGTAGCTTCATAGTGCTGAGACTTAACCCCTTGCACCACCAGGAATGCCCTATATCGACTCCTTTTTAAAAATAATTTACATGTCCCCCCAAACATCTTCACTTGTGTCATTTTAGTTATCACATCACTTAAGCAAGTAAAGCTGGGTACAAAACTATTTGCTTTAGCCCTCTCTCTTCTTTTTCTTCTTCTTCTTTTTTTTTTTTGGTATGTAACCGGGGTAGAAGACATAGTTCCAAGGGAATGAAAGGAATTACCAGAGTGGGGAGCAGAACTGGTAGATTTACTGAAACACACTGCTAAGGGGGAGCAGCAGGCGGGACAGGAGAGGTCTCCTGTGCTATATGTGGGTCATATCCCTGGCTGGGGATGGAACTCAGTCCCTGACCATGATAGTGCTGAGACTTAACCCGTAGACCATCACCTTGCTTTTGCTTTTATACATAAACTACAAAATAAAGTTTTCCAAAGTAAAGTAATAGCCAGTGAGGTGTTCCATCTAACTGCATTAATGAAAAATAGTGGTATTTTTGCTGATTGGATTGTTGCAGGTAATATGAGGGAGGGACACTGTTTCTGCAATGGAGCAAGTCTGTATTGCCAGAGGCCACAGCAAGAGCCAGTCTCCCTCTGATCAAAATGGAACCAAAAGATAAAGCAGTCAAGTGGAGAACTAGTGGATATGTGGTTTCCCCTTAAAGATAGATCTGGGCCAAAGATTACCGGAAAGGAGACATACCTCAGAGGACAGACTGGCTAGATCCAGGCATTCCCTATTAGGAGCCGGGGGACCATCCAGCACTCCCTGATGGAAAGTGCACCACAATCCCAAAGGCAGCAACCACTTGAACACCTCTGCTAGGAGGCATTAAAATTTCCTGACTGTAACTGATAACTTCAAGTTGACCCCATCTCTTTCTTGGCTCATGTGGTCAGTCACCAATTCCTATACATGATCCTCTTAAATATCACTCACAAATCAATTTTTTTTCCTTTGGCTTTACCCCCACTCCTTAAAACCCTTCAATTAATGCTGCTGCCCTAGTACATCACCTGGCCGTACCTATATAAAGGACCCCTTGCAGGACACCCCCACCTCCCCATATGTTCCTGCCAAACTCTCACCATCCCAGACCTGGGAGACCTGAGATTCTTGGAAGACCTGCGCTTTACCTGCCGAGAGCATTTTAACAGTATCTGTAACTGCCTAAGTGAGTACAGACATAGGCCTGCCTAGTCTTACTTACCGCTATATTCCAAGTGCTTGGTATTTGCTAGGTGTTCAGTAAATAATTGTTGAAATAACAGAAGATAAAGATAAATGTCAACAGGCAGTACCTCAGAAGTATAGGAAAATGCATTGAATTCTCAAACCAGAAAATTTGGCTTAAGTATCTAAAGGCCTCTTTTTTCTTGTATTTTGTTCACTTCATTTTGTATTAAGAACATTTGCAAATATCCTCAATAGCGAATTTTATGGTGCACCCTGGTAGGTCACCTGGTTTCAACAAGCATCAACACTTTCCTGGCTTGTTTTCCTTCTCCTTGGGGACATCTCTTTTAATTGTCTCCTACCAGCCCAGAAGCAATCTCATTAGCAAGTCAATGAGTCATTTAACTAACTGGTTTGCTGGTACTAGCCCCAGGGCTAAGCAGTTGGGAGGGTAATGCCAAAAAAAAAAAAAAGGGATTTCATAGTTCTCTGTGACTCCCTCTAAAGCCACTTTATTTCTTTTCTTTCTTTTTAAAGATTTATTTATTTTACTTATTGATGCATACAAGAACTGGGGTACAGGCCAGAGATGTAGGAGGGTGAGAGGCTTCACAACTGAGGCAGAGTGGGGAACAGAGCAGGCAGATTAACTGAAATTCACTGCTGAGGGTAGCGGTGGGTGAGACAGGAGGTCTGCTGTGCCAAGTGAGTCAGCTCCCTAGCCAGGGATCTAACTTGTGCCGTGCTGCAGTGGTCATTCGTGGACAGCTTCATAGTGCTGCGTTTTAACCCCTTGGGCCACCAGCGAGGCCCCTAAGCCCACTTTATTTCAACTGTAATAGTTCTGATTGTTCTGAGGGGCTGCTTGTTGGGGGAAGGAGGGAGGGTAAACATAATTGGGAGGGTTCAGGCCTCATTCCTGCCCTCTGTAATATGATTGCAGAATACTCAGCCAAGCCCAGTGCTGTATTAGAAAAACAACAGGCATTATCCCTGCTCTCTGGGGAAGCCTTTGGGGGGAGGGCAAACATTATTTAAAGGGTTAAAATTCGATGTAATGAATTACCTATTCAGAAGGCTTATCTCAGGAAACCACATCTGAATGGAGTCCAGATTGACCTGAAGGAGTTGGGAGAGGGGGTGGGGGAGGGGTTCAGGGGGCAGCAGTCCCTCTGGTATGGGGCAGGGGGCAAGAAAAGAGCCCTGTGCTGAAGCTGTAGTGGTCTGCTAGTTGTGGTGAGGGTTGTCTTGGCCTGGTCCCAAGTGACCCTTTGAGTTGGGAGCTGCTTTCCTTACCTTGGCTCCAAAACTAGCTGTTCTCATTCTTCCCACAAGTAAACTCTGTCTCCTTACCTCAAGAACTTTCATCTGTGTGTGCACTTTCTTGATCATCTATGTAAGCTTTTTCTTTTTTTGCATCAAGGGTTGGGCCGGCAAGGACAAGTTAAACCTGGGGGCTCAGCCATTGATTCCTAAGCCTAGACAACAGAACTCCAGAGAACTTATTTAAAAACAAATTACTGAATCTACACAGCTAGATCTGTAAAGCAGTTGAGAAGTAGTTATTTAACAATCTTTTTAAATTGCCCAAGGTGATTCTAATAGGACCTGCCTCTTAAA